GGAGGGAGGGAGGGGCATACCGAGAAGATGGACTTTGTACACGAGATCCCAGTCTTGATCCGTCATTTTCAGGAAGGAACGGTCGCGCAGAATGCCGGCATTGTTGATGACGATGTCCACACGACCCCAGGTATCCTGTAAGGCGAGAAGTGGTGAAAAGCATAAAAGGGACGAGGGGGGAGGGAGGGACAGAGCTTTGAGTGCAAGCCAAGTTCCAAATTGCCGTAGGAAATCATCTTCCGCGTAAGAGTAGGGGTCCCTTATCCTCTCCGCACAGATGCCAAACATCGTATCTCTCTCCCACGCGCCAACGGCACTGACCATGGCTGTCTTCACGATTTTGTCCCCATTTTCGACCGAGTCGTAATTGGGCGTGGCCTCGCCCCCTGCAGCCTTGATCTCCTCCACCACCTTGTCCGCAGCTCGAGCATCAGCTCCTGAGCCATCGACTTTTCCGCCTATGCATAGAGAATGCCGCAATGATTGAAAGAAAAGGAGGCAACTTTCGTCAAGCATTTTTTATCGCCATCACCAAACCTATGTAGATCCTATATCCTCTTCTTGCCTCCATTTCAAATAAATCTTACCAAGGTCATTCACAACCACCTTGGCACCACGAGATGCTAATAGCAAAGCATAGGCACGACCCAAACCGCCGCCTGCGCCTGTACGTTATGTGGGCAACTAAATGAGTAAGTGGACAGGCTCTTCCCTCTGGAGATCCGGAGGAAAAGCCAAAATAAGGAAAAGAATTACCGGTAACAATAGCTACTTGTCCATCAAAGCGCAATGTGTCGGCCATACTTTATGTCTTTTGATTTGCTTGCTGCTTTATCTGCGCAAATGTGGTCAAAAATGGCTGTGAGGTTTTCCAAGGGGTTTGTGGAACAGGGAGGAGGATTTGCTTGACAGCGAGTTGATGTTGAACAAAAACATCCCCCCCGCCAAAGTTTACCCCCCAACCCCGCTGTGGCTCGAAGAGATAGACAGACAGTGCTGCCTTTGTTACGGCTACGAGCATAGATTATGGGGCAATCTGAAAGCACGAGAAAAATCGCAATTTTTCACTCTCCTTGTCACAGGATTTATAGAATGGCTAGCAGGGTGATCAAAGCCGTCAAGAAGACATACTCTCGTCATAAAATGCAATCATTATAATTAAAGACAGCCTTTGTCAAGGATGACTATGTAAGAACCATCATCATCATAAATATCTCAAAATTAAAAAAAATTATAATATAGCCCCGAACATCGCGGGAGTCAGCTCTTGCAAGCATGGAAAAAAGAAAAACGGAGGAACGGACATGACGAGGAATTTAATCGCTTGTTTTTGTCCATGTTGCCCATTAGTAAGTCATTACAACACCTCATACTCCTGTCATACTCTTTGATGTGTCGATGGTTTTGTCAATTGAGATCTTTCCTCGGACTTGAGAAACAAACAAACTGAAGATTTGCGAGCGATTTTGAGGGCACAAATCCCTTTTTTTGCTGGGAACATCGCTTCCATCCGTAGCGCTCTTTGAATAATAGCGCACTTCATACCATAGTGATTCTCCAATAAAGTTCGAAAGACTGGTTTTTATGAGCGTTTCGGGAATATTACAATAGCCGAAAGCCCTGCCATTGTCTCATTGAGCACCTCGCAACTCACGATACCTGAATAGGGGGGGCGTCGTGCCGGGCAAAAGGAAGCTATTTCGACACCGCACCCCGTCGAAGGAGAAAGAGACTACAATGAGGATCTCATCGTGCTTATTTTTTTCTTGCAGGAACCTCTTATCGTATATGTCGGCCGCGTCACTAGAGACATTCGAAACGTTTTTGCGGATGGAAAGAAAAGATTTCTTTGCATGCCCTTGGCGCAAATGTATCTGTCTAAATAGATGATACTTCTTAAAACGCATTTTTGTTGTTGTTCCCGGGCAGCAACTACGGGATCTCGGAAGGATCATATATATGTGCTTGCTTGCCGGCCATTCAAGCCCTCCAGACTAGTGGCATTCCATTTGCAAAAGAAGAATCTGATATGTGCGTTTATGCCTGCTGATTTTTCGTTCATGGACAAGTTGCATCAGGAAAGCGATCAAGGGAGCCGTGGCCTTCAAAAACTTATCGTTGAATGATAGAATACAGGTAAAAGGCGACACGTGTTGGGCAAGTGCCGCGTACGATGTTTGACGCATCGTATCTGACAAATTCGCGTAGCATCTGACATTTTCGGATCGCGTTATTCTTCATACATTTGGTTCATGCATATACATCATCTTTTGCATGCAACCCGCTTTTGAGCTTTCCTTTTCGCATTCGCAAATTCGTAAAGCACACGAGACCCGCCACATTTTTACCTACCACGCAAGCAAATTATGAATTAGGGCCTTGGCATTTGGAATAATGATCTCCACTTCTTGAAATGCAAAGTGATACATCTCTTCCTTTTATTCATGGAATGTTTGTGTTACACCTTGAATACGCATGACCAAAAGTGTTCCATGCAGGACATTTTAATTCATGTAAGAGGTCATGTTCGCCAGCATGATGGGTGGCACATTCCTTCCTCCCCCCGCCAGATACATTCTAGGAAGATCCTTTACCGCCAGAGTTGCACCGCTGCATGCCATAAATGAGTCATGAAGGCGACAAGAATTGCTGTGCGCTCCCGTGAAAACTCTTTAAGAGCGAGCTCTTGATGTTGAAGCAACAGAAGGAATGTCATCACAAGCAACTTAAAATTGTAGGAAACGCCACGTGTTCGTTACAGGAAAAATTATACCTTGCATGGAAATAAACAGGCCAGACGCTCCAAGAGCGGCACCCAAAGGGTTCATTTCTTCGTGCATAACCCTGATTTCCATGTATGTTACGCGTATCCGTACGCGTACGTGTTCCGGCGAAGGTCGCAAATTTGTTCTTTTTATGTCCTATTTATCAATAATGTGGTCCCCTGAAGTTGCGTGCTTTATGTAGCACATTGAAAAGAATTTATTGGATATCTTCCTTCAATTGATGAGACACACTACTCATACACGGCGAATTACGACTTACAATTGTGCGCATTGCTGCTTACGGGTCATCTTCTCATCTGCTTTCCTCGCCTTGCACGTTGTAGCACTGATCTCCCCAGCATGTTTGCTTTGCGACGCACTCTCGTCGGAACATCACCTCTTTCAAGGTTTCATCAAGGTCATCGACGTGCCTTCACATCACCTTCCGGCGGCACGAACCCTTGGCTGAACGATAAAAGTGTACGTAGACGTGCGTGTAGGAGGTGAGACGCTCGCCAAGGGGTCATACATCTTTTTGCATCCGATCCTCCTTACTTCCTTCCTACAGCTGTATCCGCTCTTGGGCATAGTTGGCTTGACCGTCCTAGTTGGAGTTTGGTATGGTCCCTATTATCATTACAAATCACCTGAGAAGCAGTAAGTATCGACTTAAGCATCCTTCCTCGCCACCCAAATTGGAAAATAGACCTAATTGTGCTTCTGCGTGTTCATGTATCGACAAACACTTGTATGATATCCTTATTATCCTAGGCATTGCGTCATAAATTCGATGTGTTTCAGTATTGATTACAATGAAGACTTTATCTCATTTGGAACGCATCACGCGGTACATACAGGGCCCCGATGCGTCGTCGTACTTCAGTCCTGACCCAAAAGGAACCGCATGAAGCCGGCAAACCTTTCGGCGAGGAACTTTATAAGAAATCAGAGGACTTAACGAAGGGTATTTACGGAGTGACGGTTAAAGACACGGAAACCGTAAAGGATGAGGAAAAGGGAAAGCTTTAAGGGACAATTATAAACTGGGAAGACTCCATCTTTCACCTACCGAACAAAAGGCTGTGAGCATTACAGGTATATGACGAGATCAATACGAGACTTAGAAGCCAATGTAGTAAAATGAACAAAGCGCGATGAAATGAGGACAAATGGGATTTAGGCATACGAGTGAATTGGAAGAGGAGTGATAACTCCAGTCCTATTGCTGGCGCTTGGGCTCTGTTTTTGGTGGATTTTTTTGCCTTCGAAAAGAAATGTGCTTGATTTTGATTAGATCCACTTTTGACAGGCCAACACAAAGGCTTTAATGATATCTTGCTCTAGTGAAGCGTTTACTTTCGCCTTTCGTGCCCCATTTCCATGTTTTTTTAAAAAAATGCATGCTGCGTGTTATCATCGAGTAATTTTTGGGGCCTTGTTCAATTGTTGAGCAGAGAGGAGAGAGCAGCACAGTCATACACTGACGCTCAGGCATGGGCTGCAACCACAATGAGATGGAAGCACATAAACACGAAGATGCTAAGTCCCGGTCGAAGCCGTTTGGCTGGTTGATTTCGAAAGAGAATCTGGCAATGTGAGACCCTAGACAGCTGGCGTAGTCTGCCTCCGCTATCTGTGGTCCAAATCACCAAAATTACCCGCCTCGATGTCTGTATGTCTGCAAAAGAAAGACGTACGGCGTTTCGGGGGTAAGAGAGCAATGCCGTCCAAAAACCCCGAGCTGGAAGTTCATCAAGTACTAGGCGAGACTTGTGAGGCCCATGAGTCCACCAGAGTGCAGCCACGGTACAAAATGCATGACAAGTGATAACCTCTAAAAAGTGCCAAAATCGGCGCGTTTGGACTGGTTGCCGTCTATTCGTTTCTGCGTGCGCCTAGGGTAAGGTTGGAAAAGACTTTCAATATTAGAGTCTGCCCGACTCGGAGGTGCCTGATCACGGAAAACAAGTATACTTGTGCTTTTACGACTTCCCTCGCGAACATACTACTAAGCATAAATTTGTCTCTCCATTTGCAATAGAGAAGTCTCGCCTCTCATGATCACGGTCTTAATGATACATGAAACAGACAGAAAAAAGTGATGCAAACATCCCTTAGAAGTACATGACTTTTCAATATACGATAGCCCCTTTGACTATACCTGGCACAGATGGCTAGAGATTTACATCATGTTGAAGGTCCTATATGGATCTCTTCGCCTGATGATGGGATGCCTACAGGTCGTAAAGGAAAGGCTCGGTGGATGGAGGGGACTGCTACGCTCCGTCGTGCTATGGAGCTACATACAAAGCATCCCATGCTGGAGTGGAAAGCGTGCGGGAAAAAGACAGAGAATGAGGATCCAGGGCCAACCCACAAAAGTGAAATCTCTCTCAAGCTCGTTATTGGCAAAGTGCACAAGGAGATCCACGTCGCTCAAGAGGAGGGAACAAGGACACTTGGATGGTGGCCAAGGAGGGCTTCCTCTCTCGCCGCTTCTTCTCCCACTCGTCCTCGGACATATTTCGCGGTCGAGGCTTATGAGGCCCAAACCTTGAAATCCGCACTCCGGTACAACCTGGCACCGTCTCCACCGAAAACTTTTTTGCTGGGATTTGCCTCAGAAAACGAGGCGAGGGCATGGCAGGAAGCAAGCAGTACTGCGAACAACACATGGAGCAGAGGACCTCAAGGCACACAGGGGAGAAAGGGGCTATCTAGTAGTGAGGTAAAAAAAGATCATCCGATGGCGGGGGAGGAGCCGAAGAAAAAGCAGGCGCAAGGGACAGGCCGCAAAGCGTGTGGGCCCCTTCCCGGCCAAGGACCCACCCCGTCGAACCTCCCCCCTTCCTCGCGTACCTTGTCAACAGCTCCCTCTTCTATGCCCCCAATGCATCACCTGCCTTGCCCGGGAAATCGATATTGCCACGACACCAAGGGCCGTCTTCTTCCTCCCTCCCCGTCCTCCTCTTCCACCCTCGCGGGCCTACAGAAACGTCTGACTGCGCTGCATGAGGCCGATCACAGTCGTCGGCTCGCTGCCTTGAAAGGGATAGCTCGAGTCACAGATGAAGCCTCTTTGCGAGCACGGTACGAGGCCCTCAAAAATGGCGGGAGCGAAAGGGGAAGGGAGGGGAAGGTGCCGGGGGGGGGGG